GGCCTGCTTCACGGACATTTAAGCGTTACGGGATTATTTCGAGAGAAATGCAAAATATTCGATACAGACTTGGCAGTGTCAGAAATTTGACTGAGTGGTCAAATTCGAAAGAGTAGAAAATTGATCGCCAGTGATTAGTATATAAAGCAGCACGTAACGTTCCAAACTCCGGTGGACATGGCGATCTGTCGGATACGACGAAATCAGAAAATCAGAAAATTCATCCGTTGGAACCTGAGTTGTTGCGGACGAGCAACGTGGACACGTGGGTCGGTTGGAATTCTTTCTCTCATTTTCTCTGCGCAGCTTAACGAGCATTGATTAGAGCCAGCAGATTTCGATCAGAAGTACGTTTCCGCGAATGGCCAGCCTTCGACCGGTACTTGATATCGCTGTCTGTGAAAAGCGATCGTCGAAAGGGAAGAGAAATGCCGGGGTTCGAGTGGCGTTGTTGATGCATTGAAACGATCTCCGACGTAATTTACGCAATCAACCGTTTCCCAGCAAGGATCTTACGGACCACAACGGCTTTAAGCAACGTGGCCTCTTTCAGAAATTTTCTACGCTCGTGTACTTTGTTCGTTTGTTTCCCCTTCACGTACGGCCAAATTAAAAACATTTTTCCAAGCCTAAATATCCTGGCGTTCAGATCGAACTGCCAATTCGATTTATTCACACGCCAAAAGGAATATATTCGTTTGCTTTGATGCGCAGTCGACGCGAAATAAATTCGTAAATTTTTGAGCGAAAGCCGGCGGAGAGATCAGATGTATAAAATATTGTTAAGCGACGTTATTTTTTGCGTCAAACAAATCACCGGGATGTTTTCGCGTGTTTCGCGACTCTGGAATCCGATACCAACTCTTCTTGAACGACGTAATACACGCACGGTTGATTTTATTTAAGCGTTTGACAGTTTTACGTTTGGCTTTCTCGTCGTCGCGTACAAGAACATGGAGTTATTTATTTGTCGCAGCTTTTCTTTTTTCCCTTTGCCCTGCGCTCCCGTATATTTTTTCTTTTTCTTCCTTTCTTTCTCTCTCTCTCTCTCTCTCTCTCTTTTTGTTTCTTTTGCGAGTCGATCAAAAGCAAATTTACCGGGAAAAACATTTCAGCCCGTGATATACGGGCTTTTCCGTACAAAATGCTCGAAATTTTATTCCGAGGCGACACGTGTTTTGATTTACAAAGTCTCAGATTTAATTAAGCAGTTCGGAAACGAGGGTGAGTCGAACGCGAAACACTGGCCTGCAGTTTTAATGCCCTTTAACTTTCACAGTCAACTTTGCGATACGTTTCCAGACTTGCTTATTTCGTTGTTGTTTCGCCGTTCTTTTCGCTCGTTAGTCTGTCTCGATCAAAAGGGGGAGAGGGGCAAAATTGGCGGATAGAAAAAAGATTTCCAAGGTCCGGCTCTACCTACAGCTCTGAGGAATACACGCGTATTGAAATCCTTGCTCACGTTTTTTCATTCTTTTCTCTTTTTTTTTTTTTCACTTTGCAAACTGAATCATCTCTTCTCCGATTCAAATTTCGTTCAAAAGGAGTTGAAAAGTAAAAAGAGATTCTCCGCGAGAACTAGCAAATTCACAACATCCAATTTAAAAAAAAAAAAAAAAAGAAGAAGATACAGCTTTTGCACCAAGTATCCTCGTTCTCCTTGTCGCGTTTCGCGCGAAGATTTTTCGAGCAAAGAAGGCCCGGGCCTGCGTCTCTCGTTTCTCGCGAAACACGGACTGCCACGAAGAATGGACCTGGGAAAAGCAGGACGACGGGGGCTTTTCAAGACGGACGTGGAAGTGCAGCGTAAAAAGCCAGCAAAGTCACGGGCGAAGCGCTGGGGCAAACATCCCTGTCTCTTTCTCATTCTCTGATGCTCACCCCTTCTCTCTGTGTGCAAATTTGAACGGCTGGGAACTCGCGTCAGCGCCCTCTGGAGCAGCGCAGCAACCCCTTCCAAACCAGCAGACCACCTCACTCGACGTCTAGCTGGTTGAACCGGATGGTTCGCTTTCATCGAGCCGAATCCTGGGCACTTCCGGGTGCCGTGCGTCAATGGAACGTCTAACGTTGCGGCAGCGCGAGTTTTACGTCCGCGTTTCAATATTCATTAGAGGGTTCTGGCGGAGTTCTCCCCTCCGCGTTTTCACCGCCGCTTCTTTCGGAGCAGACAGAAACGATACTACACGTTGTAGTGGAAACCGGTCGGCGGCTGCGTGGTTTGACCCTCGGCTCGCAATTAGAAAAACAAACCGTATCCGAGGATATGATCGTTTTTTTTTTTTTTTTTTTTTTACCTCGGCTGCGATCTCGAGGAACTGCAACCTCTTTCAGGAAAATTTCAATTTCATTAGATGATCACGCAGCTTGCAAAGTTTTGCTGTTCGATTTATTTTCCCGTCTTGACTCGGGATTTTAATGGACACTTAGAGAAACTACAGAACTGAAATCAACGATGCATCCCCCGTTGCAATTTTCGCAAAACATCAAATCAATGATTCAAATTAATAATTTTGTCGGATCCTGTTTCGATTCGTTGTCCGTAGAGAATTTGAACGAAAAGTAACGCTGATTCGCGAAACATTTGATAGCAATCCGGAAACGAATAGTTGGGCAAGTCGTTGGAATGAAGTCTGTTGCGTCTATATAACGCTTTCGATTGAATCTTTATGGAAATACATTTGGAGCTGGATATCGTGCGCGCGATGGTGAATTTATTTTATGCCGTTTCCATGTACGCGGAGGAAAGTTTTCAGGAACGACATCTCCGTCAACACTCTCGACTCGATTGCCATGTCTTAGAACGCTGCTTGCCCATTCGCGATAAAAAGAGAAAACAAGGCTCGTCGATTGGCTTCCTTCCAGCTAGGGACATTCTTCGGGAACCGAGGTGAACAAAAAGTTTGCCGTATCGCGTACCTTTCGCTTGGCAAAAAACTCGAGACTCGTTAATATATATCGGCGCAGTCTCCTCCCCGGTTGCTGATTCATTGTTTCGGGAAGAGCCTTTGCTCTTCGGAAAAACGATTAACGAGAGCTCTCGTCGAAATTCGTGCAAAGTTGCAAAGACCATTCGAGACCAGATCGAGACGGGAGGGAGGGGGGAGGGGGAGGAGGGGAGGGAATGTCTGTGCAACAACAATCGCGGGAGCGGACTCTCTCGACTAAGGTGCGATGTTTATAATGAAGTCTCTTCCCGGCTCAAGAACTTTTACCTTCCAGACGTTCGCTGGCTTGCGAAACTTCCCCGGTGTACGAAACAGCTTTGAAGAGTCTTTGAGACCTTTCAGAGCCGTGATCATTAAATTCGTAACTTGTTGCTGTTTGAGGAGACGCAACGTCGCACCGTGTGCTCTCCGTTCCGTCTGTTTCAACTGCTCGATGTTATCTATCGAATCGAATCCGTGCGTCTCTCGTCGTAGCGATAAAATCGCGTTGTAACACGTAGCGATGCGTCGGCGATGCGCGAGGGACTTTCTTGTACAGGTTTCCGAGTCATCGTGCGTCGGCACACCGTGGCCGAAAGTGGATGTTAACCCGGGCGAACACGGGGACTTTCGGAGGGAG